AACGCGTTCAAGATTGTCCTCCCCATGATGATATTGTAAGATGACTCAGCTCCCACCACCACGAATCTTACCATCCGCACCTTCCTCGTCACTCCCAACCCTAATGCAACTGGAAGACTAATCTCGCCCATCGGCATTACTTCGCCTCCGTTGAATCAGTACAAGGTCGTGGCCATCGGCTTTAGCTCCATATTCAGCTCTTTGTTAATCTGCACAAAACAGTCATAAAACATCACGTCTACCGAACTCCCGGTATCAATAAACACCCTCTTCACATCAAAGTCCGCCACCTCAGCGGTAATCACCAAAGCGTCATTGTGTGGTAAGACCACTCCTTCAACATCCTTCGCTTTAAAATTTATCACTGGCATGCGAGCTGTAATCCCCACCTCCTATCTCTTCCTCTTCACAGCTTGAGCATGCTCCTTCCTGGCGTTATTCGAGTCGCCGTCTGTCAACCCTCCTGTAATCATATAAATCATCCCTCTCTTCATAGATGCTTCGCCTCCGTGTCCCCCCTTATCTCCATCTCTCCTCGGCTTCTTCCCTCAACCATCTCGACCATCTCTATCATCTCCCTCCTCATCTCTATCACTCCTTTCTTCCGAATCCTCTCGGCATCTTCTCCTTCTTTTGTCCTTCGCCCTATCATGATACAGAAACTCTTTCAAATGCCCCGCTCGAATTAACCTCTCGATCTCATCCTTCAAATGCCTACAATTCTTTGTGATATGGCCGTAATCTCGATGAAAACGGCAGTAGATATCTTATCTGGGTCGAATCAGGCCTGTAAACCTTGTTTTCGGCCATGTCACATCCTCGCTCGACATCTTCTACTCCATCGCTTCGAGCACTTTTGTCGAAGCTTTTCTCAAAGGTGTAAAATTATGGTACCTCTGTCTTTCAAACGACAAAGGCCTCCCCTGCCACCTATCATCCCTTTTCTCCCGTTTTAAATCTTGACCCTCTATCCTGGGCGATGTTCTTTTCGGCCCACTTCTCTTGGGCGAACTTCTCCTCGGCGACCTCCCCCTTTGTGGGCTCTTCTCCTTCTTTGGCTCTGGTCGAGCTACCCCCTCCAATTTTGCAAACTCCATCTCCATCTCTTCTAGATTAATATACTTCCTGCATCGCTTCAAAACATCCTCATATGATCGAGCAGGGGTCTTTGCTAGGGAGGTTCGGTAAGGCCCCACTCGAAGACTCCTTATCAATCCTCCTGCATTCACCTCACCCGACACCGAGTGCACCTTTAAGCACGTCTGATTATATCGAGCAATATACTTCCTCAACGATTCCTTCTCCCCCCTGCCGCATCACCATCAGAGTCAGATATGTCTTCTCCTGTGCTACCGTACTCGAATAGTGATTGGTAAGTTTGCTGGCAAAATCCTCGAAGTCCGCGATCAACCCCGAGGGTAACTGATGAAACCAATCAAGTGCTCCTCCGCGCAAGGTTGATAAGAATGCCCTGCAACATACAGAATCAGAATATCCATGTAACACAGCCATATTTTCAAAGGTCCTTACATGCCTCGATGGGTCAGATGACCCGTCATACACCAAATTAGTTTTCTTGAAATTATTCGGCAAAGGGGCCGCGAGAATGTCCCTCGAGAAAGGATGTCCTCGAGTTCTCCTCTTCGGCCTCCCCTCAACCTTGTCTTGTAACTGGCGCAACTGCTCCGCCATCCTCTCCATCGCACGATCTCTTCCACCTCCTTTGTCTCCATAACTGGACACATCCTCGTCATGGCTTCCTACCACTGTGGTAGGTGCGGTTGTGGCGTGCGATGTGTGGCTTGTGACTTACTGCACTGCCTGCGCCGCTGCGGCCGCCGCTATCCTCTACATCTCCTCCCTGGTAATCGTCACCATCTATTGACCGGGAGCTTGTACAACTGCCTGTTGTGGCGCTCCTCCTTATGCCGCTGCTCCTCCTTGCACCACCGCTCCTCCTGGCTACGCCACCACTGGGTTTTGGGACGGCGGCGGTGGCATCGCCGCCGCAGCTGCTGCGCGAGCTTCTTGGGTGTGACTTGAGCTGGGATCTCCTCCAAGGATCGCCGTCGATGCTCCCACACCATGAAGGACGGGTGTAGGAGTGATCGGTGTCTGTGAAGGGCCAGAAAAGCCCGGAGAAGGGCCTTGCCCAATCGGCCTAGTCGTCATCCAAGCGTCGTCGAATGTCGACTGCAAGTTTTTGAGAATTCCGTCCGCCATAGTTGAGCTTAAAACACAACTTCTCAAATGAAGGCCCCACAGTGGGCGCCAATAATGCAAGTTTGAGCGTCTTGGTCCGGATTGGGGTAGATCGATTCTTTTCCTTGCCGGTAGAACGCACGAAACCTACAAATAACTCTCACACTGGGGGTTGTGTCCGGTGAAGATCCCGATGCTTAAGTCAGTATGTGTATGAGTATACTGGAGTTGAGTAATGGAAAAATCGTGTGTTGGGAAGAAAGGCTCACCCCCTTTATATAGGAGTGAAATACCTGACCTAAGGCTGCCCGAATTTGATGAGCTGGTTGCCCAAGCTGCCCGTCCGTACTCTGACACGCCGCGCACATGTCAGAGGTGGCGCGGGACATTGGGAGCTGTCAGAGGTGGTTGTCGCTATCAACCAATAAGTTCTCGACATGTGTCCTTCTGCACATGGGATGAATATTCTTCTGAAATTCCGTTAGAGGCTCTTTCACGCGCCTGTGACTAGGCCGATCTACGCTGTGCTAAGTCTGCGAAGTGGTCGACCAATTGAGGTCGACTAAACTATTCGACCATTTACTTGGTCGAAGGATAGGTTGGTCGATTGCTTAGCTGGTCGACTGATTGACTGGTCGATTTTCCAGCCATTCAGCTTGGTTTCTACACGGTATGACCTCTTCGACCGGTTCAGAAAACCGGTTTAGCCTTGTGGGTATAATATCTTATATCATATATGCTCAACACTATAACTTCCTATAATGAAACTCTGAATGTGGAATCAAAAGGTACAAAGCGAAAATTAGATGAATCAAATGTGTTATGGCATATAACATATTTCGAGAAATAGAGTTGAAAGACTCATTAAGGATGAAATTCTTGATTCTATTAATTTCTAAGATTTTTATGTTTGTGTCAATTGCAGTAAGGGTAAACAAACTAAAGTAAAGAGAATAGGTACTTATCGAGCTACAGAAGTCATAGAGTTGATACATACGACTATTTGTGGGCCATTTCCTACACCTTCATGGAACGACCAACAAAACTTTGTACCATACATAACGATTACTCTCGATATGGTTATCTATACCTCATAAGGGAAATATTTGAGGCCTTGGACATGTTCAAAGCATTTAAGGTTGAAGTTGAAAATCAACTCAGCAAACGCATTAAGATCATCAGATCTGACAGTGGAGGTGAATATTACAAAAAAATGATGGATCCGAGCCCATTTGTTGACTTCCTTAAAGAGTGTGGAATCATTCCTCGGTATACTATGTCAGGTTTGTCTAGCATGAATGGTGTTGCTGAGAGACGAAATCGCACATTAAAGGATATGGTTCGAAGTATGATTTGCCAATCTACTTTACCACGATCCTTGTGAGGAGAAGCACTAAAGACTGCAGTCTACATGTTTAATTGAGTACCAACTAAGGCGACTGCTAAAACACCCTATCAATTATGGACTGGGCGCAAGCCTAGATTACGAAATTTTAGGGTGTGGGGTTGTCCAGCTGAGGCGAGGCCTTATAGGCCAAATGAACCAAAGCTAGCTCTTCGTACGGTGAGCAGTCATTTTATTGGTTATTCGGAATGGTCAATGGGGTATAACTTTTATGTTCCCAAATCAAGAAATATTTTTGAGACGGGCACTGCCACGTTCTTTGAGGATGTTAAGTTTGGGGAAAGAAATAAAGTTTCAGACTTTACTTTTGAGGAAAAAAAATCACCAAAGTGGGTGACTTGATCCCCCAAGAGCAAATAATCATTTAAGCTCCCATACCATTTCAATATACAATTGAGAAGCTTGTTCATTTTGATCCTGAACCTCACTATGTACCTATAGAACATACTCAACACTCTCAAGTATATACAGTTCAAGAGCTAACGCTTCTGCGTAGATCTAATAGAGAACAAAGAAATGCCATTCCAGATGATTATTTGGTATTTCTTCAAGAAAATGAAGATGTGGGTGGCTTGATTGAGGATGACCTAGTCAACCTCAAACAAGTCATGAAGAATCCCAACTCAAATAAATGGATCGAAGCGATGCATGAAGAGTATAAGTCAATGCAAGACAATAAGGTTTGGGAACTTGTTCCAGGTGCAAAACCCGTTGGATGCAAATGGATTTGTAAAACCAAACCTGTTGCAAATGGCAAGGTGGAGAGGTATAAGACACGTTATGTGGCTAAAGCTATACTCAAAGGGAAGAGATTGACTATAAAGAGACCTTTTCTCCAGTATCTTCGAAGGACTCTTTTAGAACAATCATGGCTCTAGTGGCACATTTTGATTTGGAGCTACATCAGATGGATGTAAAGGCAGTGTTTCTTAATGGTGACATTGATGAAACAATTGAATTGTACAACCAGAAAGTTTTGAGGTAGATGACCCAAAAAAATATTTTGTGAATTAAAAAAATTCATCTATGGGCTCAAACAAGCGTTTCGACAATGGTATCACAAATTTCATCAGGTAATTATCTCGTATGAGTTTGAGATGAATGTTCTTGATGATTGTGTTTATCACAAGTTCAGAGGGGGTAAATTTATTTATCACAAAACATATGTGCATGTTGCACGAAACTAAGAAATTTCTTTTGAGTAACTTCGAGATGAAAGATCTTGGTGAAGCTTCTTTTGTATTAGGAATCCAAATACACTGGGAGCGATCTCGAGGTATTCTAGAGTTATAATAAAAGAGCTATATCGATAAAGTTCTTAAGCGATTTGGCACGCAGAACAGCAAACCATGAAATACCCATGTGGCTAAAAGAGATAAATTAGCCTAAGTCAATGCCGAAAGGGAAATTTAGAAATCCTGAAAATGCAAAAGGTCCCTTACGCCTCGGCGGTTGGGAGCCTGATGTATTCTCAAGTATGTACGCATCCGGATATTGCATATATAATTGGTGTGTTGGGTAGATACCTTAGTAATCCTAGATTGGATCACTGGAAAGCAGCCAAAAGGGTGATGAGATGCCTTAAGAGAACTAAATATTATATGCTCGCATATAGGAGATCAGACCATTTAGAGATCGTTGGATATTCTGACTCTGATTTTTCGGGGTGCCAAGACAGTAGGAAATCTACGTTTGGGTACTTGTTTATGTTGGCTGGTGGTGCCATTTCCTGCCGTAGTGCTAAACAAACACATGTTACCACTTCCACTATAGAAGCTGAGTTTGTGGCGTGTTTTGAGCCATCACACCAGGGAATATAGTTAAGGAACTTTGTCACAAGGCTGCGAATGATCTCAACTCCAATTATGCTATTGAGCTCGAAGCTAATCATTCCAGAGGTTGAAAGACCTATTAAGATATTTTGTGACAATAAATCTGCCGTTCTGTACTCCAAACAAAAATATGAGCTTGTCTAAGTCAGAACATATTGACATTAAGTTCCTCGCTGTGAAGGAGAGGGTAAAAAGTGGTCAAATTTTCATCGAACACTTAGGGACAAAATCTATGTTAGCAGATCCTCTAACTAAAAGTGTAACGCTTATGGTATTTTACAAGCATACTACTCATATGGGTATGCTACATATTCAGGAAGCTTCACTCTAGTGGGAGCATTTACTACATTTTTGCAATATTATTCGATGACATATAAATTACTTATTCTGATCATAAATAAAATTTTGGTTCATGACACTTTGTACATTATATTTTGGTACTTAACAATCTCATTAAGTTTGGACTAATTGAAAATTGACATGTGCTGATCACATTCATGTAATTTTCATGCCACATGTTCTACAGTTTGATCTATGTCATTTAATGATGGTGATATATGTGATTATTGATAGTTTAGCTGTGACTATACGACGAAAACTCTTTAGACCTATATTGTTGTGATTAATGGACCAAATTGTTCAAGTTCTATAATAATGACCATAATTTGAGCTCATGATGTATAATGTATTATCAGGACACATATTTAATTCAGTGGGAGATTGTTAGATCTATTTTGAGATTAAATATGTGTAATTGATACATTGAGTCATTATATTATTTAGCCAAATTAAGTGATCAAATCATTGTACATTGACTAAGGAACTTAATTGAGATTGTGGAATGATTAAATGTGGACACTCGGTAATATTATTATTTGGTGACGTAACGAATACTAATATTAAACTTAAGGACCTAATTAGCAAATAATTTATGTTAAAATCATTTATGGGTGGAGTCCTCAAAAGTCGTGATAAATACAAGTGGGTCTTTTGGAATTCTTCACTAAGATAAATAAGAAGAAACCGTTCCAGCCCCACTCTCTCTAATCAGTTAGTTTTCTTCATACGTCATAAGGGAAGAGAGAATAAGATTCACGGTCTTTTGGAAGTTCTTCAGAATTCCAAATCCCCAATCAAATTCAAGTTCGAATCCAATCAATCAACATGAATCCATCAAGTACGCTTCCGCTCTTTGGTTTGTTTCTCGATTGTTCAATATGACCGCTCTTGGGATTAAGCGATTCGATCGCATACAGTTAAATCTAATTTTATTAGTTTTGTTAGTAGGTATTTTATTCTGCTTCGTTGTAGCTTATTCTCCTCTTGTAGGACTAGTATTCTTCCTTGGTGGGAGTTGTTTATTCATTTGTTTCGAGGATGAGTCAGTGCAGTTTTCTTGGTTCCCGTTGTTAGGGTTCCTTTCTAAATTCAGTTATAGCGGTTTGACTAATTCTAATTATTGTCTAGCTGTAATTAAATATTTTTTTAATGAGATCTTTTGTTTATAAAAAATAAAAAATAAAAAAAAATTATGTGTACGGGAAAGACTGATAACATCAATCAATAATAAGGTTAATACCAAATAAATCAAAGACTTTAAATGGGTTAGATGAATGTGTGAACTGAATACAAACTATTTTGGTCAAATGGGGTGGTGCGGCAAGTGTGGATGTCAACACACCAGATATATTCATTTATTCAGTCATGTGCTTGTGTGTGGGAGAGAGAGAGAGAGAGAGAGAGAGAGAGAGAGAGAGAGAGAGAGAGAGAGAGAGAGAGA